AAGGAAACGAAAAGGAGAATGGCAAGATTAGACATTGAGATTGTACAATTAAATTATAAAACTGGAATCAGTTAGCGTAGATTTTAGGGTTCCTTAAACTTAGTGATTATGTCTCATCCTTCCATTTGTCCAGTCCAGCATCTACCATGTATTCTTTGCTCAGAGAAGATATATATACCCTTTGGATCTCTCAGAAAGGAAATAAAACATAACAAAAGACAGAATTCTGACAAAACAGAGAGAAATTAGAGGAAATTAATTGCATTATGCAAAAGATAACATTTTCTTTTATTCACATCCTACCCTTTGTGGAAGTCAACAAACGGCTGCTGGAATATGGGCTGATTTTGTGCCTAGAAAAAAAATTTAAAAGATGTTATGGAACTTTTGACTGATACAGAGAAATGTGAAAGAGATGGCAGGAAACCAGTGTATCTGAAACCAGCATATCTACTATCTGAAAGAAACAGCGTAGGGTAGAAATTGCTTAAGTATATATTTCCATGCATTGCCCATGTGAGCGTACCATAGTGATCCAAGATGATTGGACGAAGGATAGATTTCTAAGCCAGGGGCAGCTGTCTATGTGCTGGCCAGAGGTCGATCAGATGGAATGAAGTTAGAGGTCTACCAGCAGAGACATTCTTTACTAGTGATTAGCTAATATAGATCAGCTTTAGAACTGTTGGGTTTAGCAAATGAAAATAGAGTATTCCCAGTTAAATTTGAATTTCACATAGATAACATAACATTTTTACTGTAAGTATGTCACAAATATTACATGGGTCATATTTATACAAACATGTAGTTGCTGTTTATCAGAAATTCAAATGTAACGGGGTGTCCTGAATTTCATCTGGCAACCCCAGTCAGATTGGAGCTCAAGACAGAAAGTTTCACAATACTAGAGGAAAGAAAAGGAGACGTAATAGGAGAAGAGACAGAGATGAGAAAATGGATGGAATTCCTGAGTACCAAGCAATAGTCACCTGTTGCTGGAGGAATTAAAAAATGACCCAGTCTCTGGAGCTGCTGCCACGTGGGAAGGATGCTCTGCTGCCCTGATGACATCCCGGCCCCTCGTGAAGTCTACCTGCTGAGTGATGCCCAGGTTTTCATCGTGATTTTGTGCAGGAAACTCCCACTAACTGAAAGAACTGAGTGCATTTTTATCATTGAAAGTCTAGGAAAAGAACTGTTACACTGTTATTTATCTACTCAATATTAATTTCCCCTTTTTCCTTACTATTGAAAGTAGTAAGGAAAGATCTAAGCCAAGCACAGCAGTCTGGTTCCCTGTTTCACAGCCTCTCCCGGGGCGTGTGGTGCCTCTCACCACCTTCTGCCTCACATAAGCATGGTGTGTCAAATGGCAGCAGCCTTCACATGACTGTGGTACAGTGACCATAAACTATGAAAACTAACATGCTAACTGACAGCATCACTGAGCAGCTGAAGCAGCACCAGCAACCACCTGCTAACAGTAACACATCTTGTTATATAAGAAAAAGAAACCCTTGTTTGCTTAAGCAACTGCAAATTTAGGTTTTAGTTACTTGCAGCCGTATCCAATCCTAACTGATAAATCAACAAAAGGAATCATCTTAGAATCCACTGAACAACTATACTTCAAGTTTCATAACAAATCATGACAGATACATAGATAGGATGCCTCAAAATACACCAGGAATATTCCTGAAGCCATTAATCATTTTTAGAATTGCACCTACACCTAATTCCCTCTCATTCCTCTCCTATTATCTGAATTCTGTCTTTTGTTAAATTGTATCTCCTTTCTGAGAGATTCCATTATTTTAGCCCACATTGACCTCTTTTCTATTCTGAAGGTATTTTACAGCTTAAAGTTTGAAACTGTTGGTGGGGAGGGCATAGCTCAGTGGTAGAGTGCATGCTTGGCATGCACAAGGTCCTGGGTTCAATCCCCAGTACCTCCATTAAAATATAAACAAATAAACGTAATTACCCCCCTCCCCTCACCCCACACAAAAAAGTTTGCAACTTTTGCATTATACTGGGAAATGCAACACTCTGTTGTTTTGTTGCTTGATTTTTGTGTTTGTACAACATATCCCTTTATTGGATGGTAAACTTCTGGAGGGCACACACTACACTCATATTTCTGTTTTTAGTGTCTAACAAAGCATTTTCTAGATATAAATAGTAAATAAGTACTTGTCTTGACAATGACAGCAATAACAATGTGGTTAGAGGACGTTTGAGGGAATTTGGTAGGACCTCTGGCCATGCATTCTGGAGTAGGGGCCAAACTAGATGGGTCTGCCCAGGCAGCCAGAGCCAAGAGGGGCAGACATTGAGCAGGTGTGTGACTTTGGCAAGTCACTCAACAACACTGAGCATCATCTTTTCTTCTGTAAAATCCAGTGTTGAGATGACGATTAGAAATATGGTAAGCACATCCCCCAGCGCTTGTCACATAATAAGCATTAGAATCATTAGAATTCAGCTTTAATCTCCTAATGCATATGCCAACCAAACTAAGATCTTTTTTTGGCCTTGAGAAAGGATAAAATTGCATAGTTTTCCTTGACAAAATGGATGCATGGATGCAGGAGAAGAGGACAGTACATTTAAAATGCACTAGACTAATAAACAGAAGATCTAGCTCCATTTCTAATTCAGTGGCTAATGGGCTGTGTGATCGCAGGCAGCTCTCTGAAACTCAGTTTTCTTTTTGTAAAATACAGATAATGAACTTGATTTGCCTGCCTCATAGAGTCATTACAAAAAAAAATCATGTGAAATAATGTATGAAAAATGTACCTTGAGAAACACACAGCATTATATTAACTTAAGGGTGGAGAGGGGAATCTACAGATTCTAGAATCAGCAGCAGAAGCAAATTTATTCATAGCTTGAAAAATCTTGTCTGAATTTCAAATTCACATTGAGTGATTTAGCAAAACTCCAGCGCTTAAGAAAGTATTCAATGACAGAATGAGCTAGACTTTAATTAAATGGAACTGAGATGAAATTAAAACAGAAAACTCATTTCCCCTGAATAAAATGCAAATGCATTTAAATGCACAAAATGGTAGTACAAGTTCATTTCTTCAAGAACCTTGGTGAAAAACATGAACCACATTTAGAAGCATCGTCCAGACTTCATACCTATTAGTGTTAGACTGGAAGAGAGAGGGGGCAATGATTCCACCTGATATGAATGTGGCATTCTATGCGTGAACTCTCAGATCCATGCTCTGCTTGAAGACGTGCAGACTCAGGATGGAAAAATAAAAAGTTTCCATCAGGACTAGTTATCACTTTATTTTTAATACAGCTCAGAATGAGATACAATAACGCATTTTTGTTTATTTGGGTGCATAAGGTGAGGAAGGATGTGCAAATAATAAAAGTCATGCACACTAGATTTATCTGGAAGGCACAGAATGGTAACTGTGCCAGACCTTTTTCCCACCTTGAGTCAGCAGGCCTTTTCTGAGGAGGGTCTTTACAGAAAGGGAAGTCTGTACCCAACTCCAGTGCATTTGATACTTCCCTTCTGAGATGATCATTCCACCTTCTGGATGGAAATCTCCCTCATTTTTCCCAGATGGAAGAAATTGCTTGCTCTTTTAAACTACTGGAGCAGATCTAATCTGTGCTAACCATCTGGATGCTTTTCACTTCCTTGTAGTGGAGTATTTCTCTGCCTGTCCTATGGCCCATATTAGATTGTGAACTCTTAAAAGATCTACTAGACATGATTTTGCAACCCTGCTCCAAAGTTTTCCAGGCCAATGTCTTTAACAAAGGAAATAAACAATAGAGAAATTGGCTGATGAATTAGTTATGCCATCTGAGCCTCTTAGCTTTGCTAGAACTCTAGCTAGTGGTTATCAATCTGAGGTTCACTGGTTCCTACAAGCGCTATGAGTGGTCTTTCTTAGTATTCATCAATCCTGTTTCTGTCTACCAACTAGTGAGATGAATAATCTACAGCTTCCATCAGAACCTCAAATAGAGTTAGAAATTATTGCATTCTACTCATTCCTTTTACAACAGACCTTCATCCAGTAGTCCATGACTTTGGCTGCACATTAGAGAGCTATTAAAAGATATGGGTACCACTTAAAGAATTACGGTATAATTGATCTGGGATGAATTTTAAGCATAAGTGCTTTTAAAAATTCCCTAGAAAATTCTGAAGTTCAAACAAGGTTGGTCCTGCATCTCAGAACTGCTTTTAGTCATCAGATATTGGTGCTCTCACAGGCTAACCTGCTGCCCTGACCCCCATTCTGTGGAAGTCCTGACCATTCCTACAAGTAGCAATTATCTAGGGCATGCCCTTAATTCGGTGCTTAATCAGGGACCTTTGTGCCTCAGACTCCAAAGCACTCCCTTAGGTTATTTAAAATTTCCATCACGATTCTCAATGCCCTCTTATCCTTTTGATTCCAGCAGGGAACACAACATACTTTCTTAATGTCAGCTGTGTACCTTGGGAAAGAAAATGCATTAACTGTAGTTCTCAGGGGAACATGTTCGTATATGGTCATGTGTAAGCACAAAATAACCTTGGAACAAATAGTGCTAGCCATAATTAGAATAGCGCCTTTAGACAGCTGGTGTCAGAACCCAAGTGAGAGCAGCCTTTTGTCTGTTAGGTTTGATTTCATGACTTACAAAGAGATTCAAAACTTGATTTCCTTCTCTCGTTTCCCCGACATCAAGGATTGTCAGCATTTGCAACGGAAACAGATTTCTGGGACATTGTCAGATATCTTCTGGGGATTTTTCGTGACTACAGTGTTTATCTCAATTTGCCATTTCCTATAATTAGGCAGCACATCACACATCTGATTCTTTGAGAGATGATTATTCACTATGTGGAGTATACAGACTCTTTGCTTCTCTGCCTCTCTGAGGCAACCTCTCTGGACGTTTCACTCTTTAGCAGCAGTTCTGCCAAATTTTGAGATGTAGAAGAAACAAAAATGAAATTCAGATCTAAGCACCCTTCTTTCTCACATGTTTATTCAGGTATGTGAAGAGGTCAGATTTCACAGCTCAAGTTTAATTTATAGTTGCCCGTGGATGTATAGCATTTTCACCCCACCCCAAAATATACCAGTATTTTTTAAAGGTGAGATTACTTCATCTTTTTAAACATGTTTCCTCCTTTCACTGAAAGTGACAGGTGATTTTAACCTCTACTTTCACTGCCCCTGAATGACTCTTCTGAGATTAAATTTCACAACATTAAGTGACAGTCTATATGTGAACATGGTGAGCTGACCAACATCAAAGAGGACCAGAGAGCAAAAGAAGGGAATTGCTGTGTCTCACATATAAGGAGGAGGAATTATACAAGCAGAGACTAAGGAGTAAGTGGCTAAAAATGTGACCAAAATTATGCCTGTGAATAGAGAAAATCATGGCATGAGGAGAAACTTCTGTACTTATAAATCAGCTGGTAGTCCCAATGGAGCACCCAGAGGACGTAATGTGGAGAAACCAGCCTCAAGGGGATGTGTCCTCATTAAGACACAGCAGGGCAGGAGCAAGCAGTAGCCGCCTTTACACTCAGCGCAAACCAGCTTCATGGGTAGTGCAGGTCTGGCTCCATGACGAATGTGCAGATCCTGGAGGAGAAATGATCAATACTTAGAAAAATAAAGCTCATTTGTGAAGCAGGTTGACCTTCCCATCAGTCTTTTTTTTCCAGGAATGTTAGTTTATATTGCTGAGGCTATAGGGGAATATTGTGGTATAGAAATTTAAGATACAGGTTTCAGAGTTAGACAGTCTAGGGTTCAAGTCCAAATTTTCCCACTTATTAGCTGTATGATTCTGATTTTTTGTTTACCTCTGTAAGTTTGGCACAAGTAAGTATTAAATCAATTAGCTTTTATAATTATTATTATTATTATTATTATTATTATTATAACAGTCATCAAAAGTAATGTTTACTAAGCATTTAGTGTTGTCTTAGCCACCTGAGTCAATGGACCCAGCCCCTCACCTCTGCAAACAGTCTAGCAAAATAAAGTAAGTTTTCATGATGTGGAGATTTTGACTCAAATCTGAGCCCTGCTAATTGCCCCTTTATGACTTGGAGCAAGTTACCTTGCCATTTTAAAATCTCAATTTCTTCATTTTAAAAATGGAGGTACTAACACCTACCTAACAGTCCTGTAAGAATTACATGATGGTGGGATAACATGCTACATGTTTAGTGAGATGTCTGCTGTGTAATGGGCTCACAAAATAATAACAACCCTTATTACCCTCAGCAACCTTCCATCCACCAAATGTCAAGTTTGATATGGAGAGTGGCAAGGCACATTTTGACCCAAGCATAAGCATTGAGTAAGTGCACAAATTAAAGTAAGATTGAATAGACATGCACGGTCAGATAGAGGACTCAGAGCAAAACAGTGAATGATGAAACCAGCATTGAACTTGACACTTTAGACATGGAAGGGTCAAGAAACATTCAGTATTGGTGGGTGAGAGTATTTTAAACAATGTCTTACGAAAAAAAAACCCCAAAAAACAAAAAACAAAAAACATTGGAGAAGGCTAACTTCTAGAGGTTTCCAAAGACCTTCTGAAGAGCTGAGAATTAATCATCTTGTAAATTTACCTGTGATTGACTGGCATGTTCATGAGGTAGGGCTGTTTTATAACATCTAGTACTGAAAGCCTGTGCAGAGGTCCAGTGGATGCAAAAGACTTATTTTGTTGCTGTTGTTTTAAATATATCCATCGTAAAATTAACAGGCTGGATCTATTAAGTTGGCCTTTTCATGATGGCGTGTATCTTGTTCATTAGTGCCTGTTATCTTCATTACAGTCAGCATCTCAAAACGGTGTTGATTGAGAATTGAATTGAATTGACCAAGAAACACTGTATTTGTATTTGCTCTTTTCTTCTCAAGATTAATTTTTAAAATCAAATCTCCTTCTTGATGGGCTGAGAGTCTCTAACAAAAATGGTTAAATAAACAAACCATTGGACTGAGAACAAGTCCACAAGCCACAAGTCCAATAGCCCAATTTAACTCCCAATGGATGGATCATAGTCATGACAAATGACATCCAACATCCCAGAAAGCAAAACTGCCTGCACTGTCTTGTCGATTACTGTAAAGGGTCACGGTTTTCAAATATGTTAAACCAAGAGAAAGGAAGAAACACCGTAATATGTTACTGGTGCTTGTTTTCTGAGATCTGTTCTCTTTCTTTTGTCAACAGCTTATTTCTGTTGGATTACATAAACACAGCGTGCTGTAATCAGCACCTGCCCTGCATGAACATGCTTTCAAGAACAGGCAGCAGCTATAACACTCGTCATTCAAATCTCCGATTTTTCTTCTACTGAATAACAACTTTTATTTGTAGCATTAGCACCGATTTCATTCCAACCTCTTTTCTCAAGATGGAGGTGGACTCGGCTCCTGGGGTCTTTATACTGCTTTTCCAGCTAGGAATTACCTTCTAATACTGTAGGTGGGAGATTTCTTCCCAAGGGCAAAGCATGAACTTCCAACACTTGCCTACCTGGGGCCTTAACTGAGTCCAGTGCTCCTGCTGAGTCAATTTTGGGAAAGGAATCCAGTTTCTCTGCGTTCAAGAGATGTGCTTGGCGTGAGACGGAAGATTGTATCATTCAAGGACACTGGGGATATTATTTTGCAAACTTTAGTTAAGAGGTATGACAGAGGTAAGATAGAGGACCTTGGTTTATTTCTTAGAGAAACTGTCTAGAGGAAACATAGATTTGGAGAGTAGGAGGCACTTGCTCCATTTTGGCTGTGTTGCTAGCCGAAAAAAAAAAAAAAAGACCTTGGCAAAGTACTTTTCTAATTTCTCCCTTTCCATAGAAGCAATACTCAAGATTTCTCATTTATTGTCTTGAATATACTCAGGGTAGGAAAGCAAAAATATTAGAGTTTGTCCTGTTAAAGCATATTCGATTTTAGAAAAACACATTCCTGTCCTAATAAGGGTCGTAGCTAACTCTTAGGGGTTACGTTGAACATCCCAACAGGTGTGAAAAGTTGATGGTAGGACTGCATGGGTATAGATTTTGTGTTTATTCCAGAAATCATGCGGGTAATAGTGATAGCTATCACTCAACAGTTTTATGCGCCAGTCTCAGACAAAGCAACCCACACGTGTAACTCGTTTACTCCTTCCAGAAACATCACGAGAAAGATGAAGCCCCTTTTTTCCAGATGGAGAAACTTAACAACTCAAGTGACTTGCAGAAGTCCCCACAGTGCAAAAACTGGTAGAGAAACGAATTGAATCCCAGTCCATCGGACACCAGATTTGTCCTCTAACCCCACAATAATTTTATGTGTGAACTTGACTGGACTAAGAGATGTCCAGGTAGATGAGAAGAGCTGAATGGTATAGCTGGGACTGACTGGGGCAGCTCAGCCAGCTGGAACCAAGGGGTCTCTTATCTTCCCTGTGGGACCAATGAGGAAACAGATCAATAACTGGAATCCAAGAAAGCAAGCCCCACCCGGTGAGCAGCTTTTAAGCCTTCGCTCATGTCCAGCCCACTAAACATTTCTTTGGTCTAAGTAAGTCACATGGCCAAACCCAAAGTCAGGGTCAAGGCAATATACTGCATCTTTATAGCAGAAGCAATTGCAGAACCACTGGCAAAGATCATGGCTGCAGGGATGGTGAAGAATTGGCGCCATTAATGTAATGCAATCCACCATGAATATAAACGTGTCTTAAATGACATAAGCAAATTGTCCATTTTTCCTATTACTGGGTGTAAAACTGATGTCCCAGGAGATGGGCCATATTTATTTTGTCAATCTCCTTATCTAATATGTGGCTAATAATGATATGTGGCTAATAATTTTATGTGTGAACTTGGAGAGTAGAGACATTGAGGGGAGCACATTGCTTAGCCCAGAGCTTAACACATAGTAATCACTTGACAAATGTTAACTGTTACTTCTGGGGTTCGGTTCAACTATATATACCTCCCTCCGCTTTTCGAAATTGGACCATCACTAAAATACACCCTAGGAATTAGCCTTGGCTTTTGAAGCTAATCTGGTTTGCCAGATTATACCATATTTATGCCTCCTCGCACATTATCGCGTACGTCAGTCTCCTCAAAGCAAGACTGTAGGAATTTTTATCCTTAATTCATGGAGGAAGGGGTGAATGTTACATCTTCTCCAGTTTTCTCCTCGAAGTCTGCCTTTTCAGAAAGCTGCAAGTTCAGAAGCCCCAGCAAACGGATTCCCCCAGCACATTTCTCTGCCCCTCTTTGACGAATGGAGGCCACTTGCAAATAAATTCTTCCAGACCACATTACCTTTATTAACTGGAAATAAAAAGTAATTTGAGCATAAATTCATTACAAATAGATCAATCTTCCCTCTGCTCCCTGCTGCAATTTCGTTACCCGGGATTTAACACATTCACTACGTTCAGTACCTAGGCCTTCAGTGGTTATAGGCTGTAAATCAATGCCTCATAATATAATTCAAACTAATCCCGTAATTGAGTCTAATTAAGAACAGCTTCAGACAATTATTACAGAATTGTTGAAGGCAGAGATTGAAGAGATTTGCTCATTTATCCTGGGTCCCCTGCTGAGTCAAAGCTTCCCCGTAGCTTCTCTTTCTAGTGATCTATCTGGTCTTATCCTGAAGTCTTGTAAGAATTAGTCTGGTTTTTTTCTTTGAGACCTCACTCAGAAATATAACAGGTTTCATTGGATATTTTAGCATAATATTTATTTTCAGCGGTGCTTGCCTCTCATTATTCTTCTAAGATATGTGTTTCACCTTGGGAACAATAAGGCAATCTAGACTATAATGCATTCCCAAGAGAGGAAATGAAACCCTTAGGGAAAAAAATGTACAGTGGCTTAAAGTAAAATAATGTGTTGGTTTATTTCATCAAAAGCACAGCCAGATCCAAGTACACACACAGGACTTTATTTCTTCTCCTCTTGGCTGTTTTTCTCTGATCAGTTTCTGTTTCCAGCAGGGAAGGAGCGGCAAAGGTGGACCCTGACAGCTCCAGGCTTCCACAGGAGATCTAGTCTTCCCCAGTATCTGCATCAATCCCATATTGGAAGGATGCTGATTGGCTCTGGGTTATGTGTCTATCTTTGATCAACCCTGTCCCAACTTGAATAGGGTATTCTGACTGGCTAGCCTAGGTCATAGGTCTACCATCATAGGAATGATAAGATCCTTTGATTAACAGACCCACAGAACCATATGGAGATGAGGACAAGTTTAGTTCTAGGAAGAAATGGATTTAAGGGCATAAAATAAAATACGCAGGTATTTTCTACTCCCCTTAATCTTGTTCTATTTTGAGTGAATTACAATGTCTTCCATTTTATTTCCTCATGAGTTAAAAGGGTGCCCCACCTGCTATTCTCACTATCTGGGGAGCACAGTAGAGAATCTTCATCTGCTGAATTCTGAATCCACATTTGGGAACCAAGAGAATAAACAGGCTCCCTATGGAGGGAGCACCTGACATATCAAGCATCCAAGGGAACCTGATCTGATGACGACATGAAAGGGAGTTTGTTAGGGTGGGGTGAAGGGGAAAGGGAACTGAAGGGATGACATATTCCCTT